ACAAGGAACAATTTCCTCCAAAAAAAAAAAAAAATCCAAAAACTAGCCCAGTGACTCCTACACATTGGGCAAATGGGAAAAAACCCACATCGAAATGGTTAGGAGGGGCTCTGATACCATCTTGTCAGTAACCCCTTCCCTAGCACAGTGACGTACAACTGGGAAGGAACTCACAATTCCCAGCTTTTCCCTGAGGAGTGAAGGGGTTGGACCCAATATATAGCACCCCAGCTTTTAAGACTTCCATCTGAGTGACAGGCCCCCAAAACCCGTAGCTCTGAAAGCCAATGGGGCTTGTGTCCAAAAGACCTATAGCAAACTAAGAAACTGTTTTTAAAAGGCTTTCACTGACTCACTGTGTCTCTTCCCCCAGGGCTCAGCTCAAAGGCAGCAGACAAAAATGCCCATCTCCCTGTCTGTCCCTGAAAGAGGCCTATTTGCATATCTTAACATATGTAGCCTGAAGGTCAAGTTTCTATTTTAATACATAATAGTGAGAGGTTGAAAGTGTTATCTTTAATATCAGGAACACAGAAGGACGTGCACTCTTGCTACTTTATTTAAGATAGTACTGGAAGTCCTAGCCAGCGTAATTGGTGAACAAAAAGAGATAAAGGTGCCCAAATCAAAAGAAGTAAAACTGTCTGTCTTTGCAGATGACATGACATTATAGATAAAAAATCCTAAAGACTTCACACATACACACACACACACACACAGATTGTTCAAACTAATTAAGACTTCAGTAAAGCTGCAAGATATAAAATCAATATACAAAATCTGTTTCATTTCCATGCACTACCAACAAACGAGCAGAAAGAGGAATTAAAAAAACAACCTCATTTACAACTGCATCAAAAAGAATAAAATACTTAGGAATAAATTTATCTAGGGAGGGATGAAAGATCTGTTCACTGAAAACTATAAGATATTGATGAAAAAAACTGAAGAGGCACAAATAAATGGAAAGATATTCCATGCTCATGGATTGTCAGAATTAATATCATTACAATGTACTACCCCAAAGTGATCTACGGATCCAATGCAATCCCTGTCAAAATTTCAATAGCATTTTTCACAGAAATAGAAAAACAATCCTAAAATTTGTACAGGATCACAAAAGACCCCAAATAGCCAAAGCAATCTTGAGCAACAACAGTGATAGAGGCATCACACTTTCTGATTTCAGGCTGTAATCTGAAGCTCTACAACTCAAACACTATGATATCTGCATTAAACATAGACACAGAAACCGATGGAATAGAACACTCAGAAATACACCCAAGCATGTATGGTCAATTAATTTATGATGAAGGAGCCAAGTGTATGCAGTGGGAAAATGATAGTGTCTTCAATAAAAGGTGTTGGTAAAACTGGATAGGCGCATGCAAAAGAATGAAAATGGACCCCTGTTTTATACCATATACAAAAATCAATTCAAAATGGATTAAACATTTGAATTAAGACCTGACGCCATAAAACTCCTAGAAGAAAACATAAGGATATGTTCCTTGACATTGTTTTTGGCAATGAATTTTTTGGATTTGACACCAAAAGCAAAAGCAACTTAAGCAAAGATATACAAGGGTGACTACGTCAAACTAAAAAGCGTCTGCGAAGCAAACATGAAAAAGGGGCCGACATTACTAATCATCAGGGAAATGCAAATTAAAACCACAAGGAGACATCACCACAGGCCTGTTAGAATGGCCATCATCAAAAAGGCAAGAGCTAGCAAATGCTGGCACAGATATGGATGAAAGGGAACTCTTGTGCTCTGTTGTTGGGAATGTAAATTGGCACAGCCACTGTGGAAAACAGTAAGGTGGTTCCTCTCAAAACATTGAAAATAGAACTACCATACATTCAGCAATTCTACTTCTGGGTATATATCTGAAGAAAAAGAAATCACTGCCTTGAAGAAATGGATGAATGGATAAAGAACATGTGGCACACACACACACACACACACACACATAGGAATATTATTCACCCATAAAAAAGAATGAACCCATGCCATTGTGATAATATGGATGGGCCTTGAGGGCATTATGCTAATGAAATAGTGAAATAAGTCAGACAGAGAAAGACAAGTACTTAATGATCTCACTTACATGTGGAATATAAAAAAAATAGAACTCAGAGAAACAGAGAACAAATTGGGGATTGCCGGAGATGAGAGGTAGGGGAAGAGAAAATGGGTGGAGGTAGTCAAAGGCATAAACTTCCTGTTATAAGATAAATAAGTTCTGGGGATATAATATACAGCATGGTGGCTACACTTAACAGTACTCTGTTGTATATTTGAAAGTTGCTAAGAGAATAAATCTTTAATGTTCTCATCATAATGACCAACAGGCACATGAAAAGATGCTCTACATCACTAATTATCATGGAAATGCAAATAAAAACCACAATGAGATATCACCTCACACCAGTTAGGATGACCATTATCAAAAGACTAAGAACAACAAATGCTGGCTAGGATGCAGAGAAAGGGGAACCCCCCTGCACTGCTGGTGGGAATGTAACCTAGTTTAACCATTGTGGAAAGCAATATGGAGGTTCCTCAAAAAACTAAAAATAGAAATACCATTTGACCAGGGAATTCCACTCCTAGGAATTTACCCAAAGAATATAATTTCTGAGATTCAAAAAGAAATATGCACCCCTGAGTTTATCGCAGCACTATTTACAATAGCCAAGATATGGCAGCAACCTAAGTGTCCATCAGTAGATGAATGGATAAAGAAGATGTGGTACATATACACAATGGAATACTATTCAGCCATAAGAAAGAAACAAATCCTACCATTTGCAACCACATGGAAGGAGCTGGAGGATATTATGCTCAGTGAAATAAGCCAGGTGGAGAAAGACAAGTACCAAATGATTTCCCTCATTTGCAGAGTATAACAATGAAGCAAAACTGAAGGAACAAAACAGCAACAGACTCACAGATTCCAAGAAGGGACTAGCGGTTACCAAGGGGGACGGGTGGGGGAGGAAGGGTGCAGGGGGAGGGAGAAGGGGACTGAGGGGTATTATGATTGACACACATGGTGTGGGGGGGGGATCATGGGGAAGACAGTGTAGCACAGAGAAGGCAAATAGTGACTCTGTGGCATCTTACTATACTGATGGGCAGTGACTGCAATGTGGTATGGGAGGGACATGATAACATGGGTGAATGTAGTAACCACATTGTTTTTTCATATGAAACCTTAATAAGATTGCATATCAATAATACCTTAATTTAAAAATTTTAATATAAAAATAGTTCTCACCATAAGAAAAAAAAATTGTAACTGTAGGTGATGGTAGTTAACTGACTTTACTGTGGTAATCAATTCACAATATATACATATATTAAATCATTATACTATATACCTTGAACTAATAGAATAGCATATGTTAATTATATCTCAATAAAACAGGAAAAATCAAAATGGAAAGAATAAAATAAATATATCAGTTACCACTATAAAAAGTGTAAATTTCATCCAAAAACACCCTTACAAAAAGACTCAGAATAATGTTTGACCATATATTTGGGCATCCTATAGCCCAGTCATGTTGACAGGTAAAATTAACCGTTACAGCATCCAACAGGATATTATAGAAATAACATAGTGTGACTTCTGAGGATAGATTATAAAAGGCATTGTGACTGGGCTTCCTTGTTTGGGGAGAAGCCAGCTACCATGTCACAAAGACCCTCAAATATTCTTATGAGCTCCACATGGTGAGGATATGAGACCTCCAGCCAAGAACCACGTGACTGAGCCCTCTTAGATGTGACTCCTCTGGCCCCTATCAAGCCCTTAGATTGAACTATAGTTCTAGCTAATGTCCTCACTGTAGCCTCCTAAAAGATTCCCAAGCCAGGACCACTTAGCTAAGCTGCTCTCCAATTCCTGACACAAAGAAACTGTGTCTGATAATAAATGTTTATTCCTGCTTTAAATCACCAAGTCCAGAGTAATTTGTTACTAGGCAATAGGTAACTAATTTAAAATTCTGTCTACCAAAATAGTTGCTGTGTATTCTTCAAAAAATGTCAAGGTCATGAAAGATGAAAAGAGACTGAGGACATTTTCCAGTTTAAATAAGAAAAAAAAAGACACAACAATCAAATGCCATGTGTGATCCTAGAATGATTCTGGACAAGAAAAAGAAAAAGGTATGTATGTGTGTATTTGCTATAATGAAGATTATTTAGATGACTGGAGAAATTTCAGTACAGTCTGTCATTTAGATAATAGCATGTTATCAGTATTATTGTCCTGTTATTGCTCATTGCACTATAGTTATGTAAGAGATTGTCCTAATTTAGAAAATATACATTTAGAGTGTCATGCTTATACATTTAAGTATAATTTACCTTAAACAGTTCCAAAGTCACAATATATATAGTTATATAATCACATATGTATATCTAGATGTGTAACTACATCTGTAGCTACTGAGAGAGAATGATAAAATACAGTAAACTTAGCATTTGAAGATCTAGGTGACAGGCATATAGGAATTCTTTGTATCATTATTTCAACTTTTCTGTAGAATTACTTCAAAATAAATAGGATAGAACAGAGGCTGCTGTTTATTTCTAAGTAAACTGCTTTTTCAAACTGAGGGCTGGAAATATTAATAGCTTTTCAAATTAATTTAGGGGATGCAAACCGGAATTTTAGCACAGACTAGGGGAGAACAGGAGAGAGCATTGAAGATGAGTGGAAGTGAGCACTATCTTGCGTAACTTTTGTTTCAGTTCTCCAGAGGGACAGAAGGATGCTCTGTGTAATGTGGTCAAAAAAGCTGGAAAGCCTCTGCATCAGGACTAGAGTCTGAGCCAAAGATTTGGGTCAAGTTCCTCTGCGCGCGTCCCTGGCAGCCTCTGCGTTCCTTAAGTGCCTCCGGAGTCCCGCCCCCGGACAGTCTGCAGGTGTGCGCGCAAAGCCAGCACGTGGTGCCAGACTCTATTTAAGGGCCCATCTTCCCTTGCAGCTGCTTGCTGTTCCAGCCCTGCCCTCCTGGACCTGCCGGAGGCTCGCGGGTCTCCGAAAGCATCCCGCCGCTGGGGCTGCAGCCGGGGATGGGCGCCGCACACCTGCTCTGCGTTTTCTTGGCGCTCGCTGCGCCAGGGGTCCTCGGTGAGCTGGGAGGGGCAGCACAGAGGTAGGGACGCGCCCAGGGTAGGCACGGTCTCTATGCCGCGAAGCAAAGCCGAGAGGCAAAAGCGAGAAGGCTGGAGCAGTGCTGAAGCTTGCCTGATCCCCGCTCGCTCTGGGGGACCCTCGCGATCTCTGGGTCCCAGGTGTCCCGGAGGGCTTGCTCCTTCCAGGGCTGGGATCGCCAGAATTGGAGGCTGCACCACAGAGGGGCACTGCATGATCTGCCCCCTGAGCTCCCAGCCCTGGGGACTCAACAGGTGCTGGGGCTCTCGGCGGACGTCTGCTAGCGCTGAGCGCTACCGCTGACCGCGTAACCAAAACCTGCCTTTAACGTATGCAAAGCTCTCACCAGCATGCTTCTGGGGCGCGGGACTTTATGCATGCCCTGAACTCGCTCTTGCCCAGTAAAACTAGCAGAGCCTCCGCTGCCTCCCCAGAGTAAAATACTGTCTGGTTCCTAGGCATGGTTCTCATAATTTTTTGAACTTTGATGTGATGCTAGTAAAGAAATCCTAAACGATGAACACCTGGAGTCGTAAAGAAAGGTTGATAAGCGAATTAAAACTACAGTGTCCACGTGTTATTTACTCCCTGTAATGTCCAGGGCTTCAGACGGTCTCATTCAATGTTTATTAGAACTCCCCTCATCCTAATTGGATTAATTTTAAAGAAGTATTGTAATTTATTAAGAATCTCTTGATGGTAAGATGAATGTAACTTTCTAATTATCTCCAGAGTACAGTGACTTCCTAGTTTACAAAGCTTACTGTATGCAGACCTCAATAACTGTGTGGCTTTGGGCAAGTCATTTAGCTCCTTGATCCTCAGTTCCTTCATCTGTAAAATGAAGCTATTGATAAGCTAAGACCTTACTGAGCTGCCGTGAGTATCAGATGACTTTAGGCAAACAAGGATTGTGGCTCTTAATTCATATCAGTAATAAGACTACTTGTCATGCTGTTTTTATGGAGTCTGTATTTAAGCTTAATCACCCCCAGCTTGTGTTAAGGGGTATTCCATACGCTGGATCTATCATCTTACTTTGCCCCCTGACATTTAACTTTCCCCAGACTCTTAACTGAACATTTTCCCAAACAGATCTCATCGCACTCTCCTACATATTAACTCCCTTCGAACAAATGCACATTAACTTTCTCCAACACCTCTGTGTGGCATAGTCGCAGATCTGACTTGTCACCAGCACTCCCATTCCTGTTTCTAAATGCGGAGAGCACATTATCAACTGACAATCAGATTCTTCACCAGCCCTGACAATTCGTCATCTCCTCCAAGTGTGCTAGAGCATCCCCTCCCAGTACCAAAGAAGGACCATCCTCCAGGTCACTTAACTCCACACATAATGGAAGACCAAGGTCTACCTGTCTGTCAACTGTTACAGTTAATGTGCTTCTGATGTCTTACTTTTACACCCAATATTCTAATCTGAAGCATTATGATTACCTGTGTAACAATGTCTTCTCTTATAAATCATTCTCATTCAGATTCCAACCTTTAACCCTTCCAGTGATGAAAGCCAAAATTTTTAAATACATATATATTTTTTTCATCATTCTACTCCCTTGCTCAAAAATTTTTCAAAGGGTTTCCTACTACCATGGGATTAAAAAAAAATCAAACATCTTCAGCCTTTCAGGCCCTTTACTTTCCTTCTTCCTTACATGTCCCCCTAACTCTCCATTGCTCCCTATCATGAATGCACTGTTCATCTTGCCTGTCACCCTTTGGTGCTTTGATCATGTCTTGCCCACATCCCCCTCCTGACCTTTGCTTCTACTGTGTGCCCTCCCTACACTGTCCCTTGGCTCTTGACCAGTTCCTGCCCTTGAGTATGCTTAAGAAAATTTTCAGTGTTTTTGTTTTGCCTTTTTTTAAATTTAGTTTTCCAGTTTTGTTGAGAAATAATTGATATATATCACTGTATAAATTTAAGACATACACGATTGATTTAGGTATATTGTAAAATCATTACTACAATAGGTTGACATCCATCACCTCATATAGATACAATAAAATGGAAAGAAAAAAAGCTTATGGTGAGAACTCCTAGGATCTACTCACTTAACTTTCTTCTCTATTGTACAGCTGTGTGAACTATGACTTCACATTGTACATTGTTTCACTGGTACTTATCTAGTAACTGGAAGCTTGTGTTCTTTGACCACTTTCCTCCAGTTCCCCCTGCATCTCAACCCTTCACCTCCTGATTCTGGTAACCACAAATCTGATCTCTTTTTCTATGAGTTTGGGGTGTTTTTTTGGCTTGTTTTTTCTTTTTAATTCCACATATAAATGAGATCATATCGCATCTGTCTTTCTTTTATTTTACTTAGCATAATGCCTTCAAAGTCCACTCATGTTGTTGCAAATAGACAGAATTTCCTTGTTTTTGTGTGGCTGAATAATATTCCATTGTATATATACGCCACAACTTCTTTATCCATTCATGCACTGATGGACACTTAGGTTATTTCCGTATCTTGGCTATTGTAAATAATGCTGTTAAGAACATGGGGTGCCAATATCTTTTTGAGTTAGTGTTTTCATTTTCTGGGATATATTCCTAGAAGGGGAATTACCGGGTCATATTGTAGTCCTGTTTTTAATTTTGAGGGGGAATTGAAGTGTCTTTTAAAAATGCATGTTCCTGGATTCCGTCTCACCTTCCAGAGATGCACAGGTTTGGGGTGAGGCCAGGAAACTGAGGTTCAAAAAGTACTCTGGGGGATTCTGAAGCAAGCTTTTATAGGGTTCGCTGCTTGCTATGAGCAAAGTTACATGGGAAGCAAATGTCCTTCTTAGAGCGTTTTTCCTACTAAACCAATCCAAATTTCCTGCACTCTTAAATTCACTCTTGCCATGACTGATGGCCCCACCTCACCTCATCATACACTAAGAAAACAAAATCATAAAATAGGAATTCCTTTATTTCCAATCATCTATCTCCATCTGAGATCAGATCCTTTCTCTCCCATGTTAAAACCTGCCAAGGGCTTCCTGTCCTATTAGAACAAAATCCTTGTTCCTTAACCTCAACTACTGGCCTTGGCTTCTCTGAAATTCTCTCTGCCCTTCCCTGCCCCTTCTGGTCCAGCCACCCTGGTCTTCTTTCGGTTCCTTGAACACAGTCTCATTTTTTAGCCTTTGTACGAGGGGTTCCTCTGTTGAAATGCTCCTCCTACAGACCATCCCCGCCTGTCTACCTCTGGACACTCAGGTCTCAGCTCCATGGTCACTCTTCTCTGACTCTTGTCTGATGGAGTGTGACCCCCAGGCCACTCTTGAACACATAGCCATGTTTTATTTTCCTCAGAGCACCTGTCCGCCTATGAAACCTCCTTGTTTATTTATTTCCTTGTTTGACATTTGTTCCCTCACTGGGTACAAGTTCCATGAGAGCAAAGCCTTTATCTGTCTTCTTGCCTGATGAATCCCTAATACCAGCATGGAACTAGACGCTCAGTGAACGAGTTCTCTTTCCTCCTGCAAAAATGGGAGAAAGTGTGCTTTCTCCTGACAGAAGTACTTCCTCTTCTGTGTTCATGATCCCATTTCACCCCTTCTTGCCTTTGCAAGGACTTGACCTCTGCAGAAAGCCTGTCTTGTAGCATCCATTTGCATCTCTGTTGGATCAGAGCAGGTAAACATGCCCCGGGACATCCTAACTGGGAGCACGGAGGGGGCTGCACGTGAGCCAGTGGAACCCCATTTTTCCATCCCTCTTCTCATCCTTCTCAGTGAAACTTCTCATCGACTGCTTGCTCGCATTTCTTTATTTCCTTAACCCATTCCAGACATTCTCCTGCAGCTGCTCTCAGCAAGGTCACTATAGACCTCCATTCTGGCAAATCCAATGATCATTTTTCTACCCTTGTTTTCATCAGTCCTTCAGCAAAAGCTGACTTCCTCCCTCTTGAAGCAGTTTTCATTCACAAATCTTCCAAAACAGAAACACTCTTGCCTATTGATTCTGCACTGGTCTATTCACTCTTTGTCTCTTTGGCCCTCTCTCTAAATATTAGAGGGTCTTCAGGTTCAGCCCTGGGACATTCAAAAATAGGCAGGAAACCCTATATTAAGTCATTTGATTATAATAATTCTCATTCTCAATAACTCCTTCTATCTGCTCTCTGACCTCACTTTCAGGTTTATTTTCATGATCATGTTGGCTCTTTATTCATTTCAAATAGATTTCTAAGCCATTCCACATAAAGCCACGTAGACACAGAGAGTGAAATGACATATTCCTGTTTTCCAGAAACTGTTAGTTTTGCCTTGATTTTAACATGGTTTGAGGAATGTATATGTCAGTGTAGTACCACCATCTTCTGTTTTAGATCCAGTCGTGATCTACTCTGATTTTTACTCCTTAATTTAGAAAAATGTGAGGAGGGTGCAGTGACCTGAAGAAAATTCACAGTACTTCATGGTTCATGGACTAACCTTCCCTTTTCTGGCATGGAAGAAGGCGTGATTGCTGGAAATTCTGTCTCGTGACTTGGAATTTTGGCAATTTCCTTACTAATGAGAGCTCGTGCCTCCTGAGAGAATTTCCAATTCTTCTTATTGAGGATAAGAGTTTCCCATTATTTCTCATACAGAAACTGTCATTCTTGCCCCCTTTCACTGGGAAGATCGTGTTATAAAGCATCCTCTGCTTTTTGCTGTTTCAAGATCTTGATTCCATCTTAGTCCATACCATTGCTATGGATTAAATCTTGTAAACTTAACTTGATTTTCTGGCTTCTGTGGAATTATTTAGTATTGTCATTGTTCACACTGGGTAATTAATTACAGGTTGGATCACTTGGTCAGGGTGAATTGGTACGAATAATGTCCGGGTCAGGAAACTGGTGTTCATTGAGGTCGAACCCGGACTTCCTCTATAGAATCCAGCTGTCTTGCGCAGGTAAGCCCTTGAAGACATTTGTCAGTGTTAATGGAGGAAACCAGAGATAGCAAAGAAAGAAAGAGAAGAGATCTGCAGTGAGATCTGGATCCCAACAGTGGTGGCTATTTCCAGAGCCAGTCTGTATGGCTTCTCCAGCAGATGGGTCAGGCTGCAGCAAGACTGGGTCTGGCTGTAGCCTGCGGAGCTCTGTGTGTACCGTGGTGGCAGTTATTCCATGTTTTTTCTTTGATTTCCACCTGACCTCTTTCAGACTTGTTTGAAAAAGAAGGGGACTTATAAATTTGATATTCAAATATACCACCTTTCTGGAGTTGAGACTTGAGCAGTCTTTATACCTATAAAATGATTTTTCCAGATACATCCTCAAGTGTATGGATGTTACACTTTGCTACCCATCTTACAGGATAAGATTTGTTTAATTATCAATATCATTATTATTTTAAGTCACAGGGAACTGTCTCAAATGACTACTTTCATCGAATACCTACTGAAAAGCATTTACAAAAATTTTCTTAGGGGACATTATTACTCTACTAGGTTAATGGAATAAAATAATGAATGAGCATATCTACTTCTTGTTAGGACCTAAAGGTTTAATGTCTGAGATAATAAATCAGTTCATGAAAGGAATCTTAGGGAATCATACCTGTGCTGAGCTTACAAGGTGCTTGGTGTACTTTAGTTCCCTGTGCTATCTCAGAGAAGTTTTTATTTATTAAGTTTTAGTTTTTATTTATGAGCTTATAAGGAGATGGAACAACTCCAGAGTCTTTATGAATTTCATGTAAAGTTACTTTCTCAGCTTTTCTTCTGAAGTCTATCCTAAAAAGTCTGTATTTCTGTACTTATTTCTCTGTATACGTACCAATCCTGCAATGTTTATGTTCTTTGGTTTCCAGAAAATATTTCTCCATTTTAGATCTGTCTTCTAAAAACCAAGGTCGCCAAGGTAATTGGTGACAAAGCAGAAGGAGGTCAGAAGTTTAAGCTTCTCTTAGTTTTGATATCCCTGTGGTCTTTGTCTCTAGGTCAGTGTAAGTTCCTGCCAAGGTATCCTTTTGCTAAGCCTAAAATTCAGAGTGATCAGTCTGAGTTTGCTGTTGGGACAACTTGGGAATATGAATGCCTTCCTGGGTATTTCAAGAAGTCATTCTTTACCACCTGCCTAAAGACCTCCAAGTGGTCAGATGCTCAGCAATTCTGTAAACGTGAGTAATCTGTAATAGAGGCATTTGGGGTCTATCCTGTTATGTTTAAGAGAAAAAAAAACAGCAAACTAATAAGTCATCTAAAATGAAGGGGGCTCCTGGGTTCTCCATGTTTTCTTTTACTCCTAAGGGCATTGGATTTTGGGTTAAGTCATCACAGCTGGCCAACCCTATTTATCCTGTCAAGTCCGGGGCCTTGCTCGATGGTTTTCTGTATTGTTCTGGTTCCGTACTGCTAGAGTGAGGTTAGAAGTTAGTATACAAGCAATGTTGATTTCTCTCATTCTTATCCCATTCAATTCAAAAAGTACTCTTGAGTAACTACTAAGTATGAAACATTAGGCTATATAATGGGCTAGGGAGAGATATAAAAATTAATCTTCTAGTTTCTGCCTTTGAGTGACTCCCATACTAATTGTAGCGCCTAACTTTTAAACAAATACAGTGCTGTGACGTAATTTCATTATAGAAATGAAGTTCTGTGAGGTCATGGAGAAGTAAATAGTATGCTACCTAAGAGAATTAGGCAGAGGAAATAGCATATACAAAAGCATAGAGGTACAAAAGAACATGACATCTTTGGAAAATAGAAAAATTCCATGTGGTTGGAGTATCAAGTGCATGGTAAGAAATAATAGTTGATTAAGTGGATTGGAGCTTCACCATGATGGCCCATGTATTTAGTCCAATAAACAATGGTAAGTCATTACAAGTTTTTATATGTAGAGAGTGCCATGACCACATTTGTGCGTCTGAAAGAGAACGTGTGCAGTAGTACAGAAGTGGGTCAATGGAGACCAAAGTTAGAAAGGTAAATTTCATTAGTGATCCAATGAGAGATTACAGCAGTGACAAAATAATTGGCCTGCAGAGAGACTTCTGGAATCCAGTCACTACAATCTGGTGACCAACTAAATGAAAGGCAGGGGGCAGAGAATGAGTTATAGGAAGGAAATTATGACTATGAGGTTTTGTTACCACAAGACTTGGCAGATGATGCCATCAACTGACAGAACATAAAAAGGGGAAATTGAGATTGTACATTATGGTCGACCACAAATAATGCTTGTATCCATGCTCAGAAATGTAGGCTACGTGCTTTATGCACAGTTGGAGCTGACTGACCCTTTGAAAGGTAGTATCGTGTCAAAAGTTTTCTGAATAAACATGAGTAGACTAGTCCGCAAGTCCAGCCAGGTTGAGATATAATATAAAACACAAAACATCCCCCAAATCCCAGTCCCCAATTCTGTTTTGTTTTCTTTTCCCTTGTAGGTAAATCATGTATGAGTCCCAGTGAACTCCTCCATGGCTCTGTCCTCACACCCATGGGCATTGTGTTTGGGTCAACAATTACATATTCTTGTAATACAGGGTGAGTTGGCAAGAGACATCTCCAGGGCACTTGGGTTTTAGAGCAGTAGTTTGAGCCAGAACCCACCCGTCTTCCACAAGAGATCTGAGTAACTGCTACCTACTGTTAAAAACAGATAAACAAGAATAGAATCATCTCTCTGATTTGATCCAGTGACAACTTTTCAGGATCACCCACCAGAGAGGCTCTCTAGAAGAGAGAAGTTGGGGCTTCCAATTTTAAACCTCCAGTGTTACTGACCAGGAGTTCAGATTTCATTTGACATTAGATCGTTGAATCTTTAGAGTCCTTAGTCTATCACCACTTCTTGTCATCATACATGATGTTCTATTCTTTGCCATTCTTTCAGTGGAAAAAGAACTAAGCTCTCCTAAAATGTACCTCTAGCTGGGAGATGATCAGTCATCTCTTTGTCTTTAGATACCGACTCATTGGTGACTCATCTGCCACATGTATTATCTCAGACAATACTGTAATTTGGGATAAGGATGTGCCTTTTTGTGAATGTGAGTAAAATGATCCCTTTATTGGACCCTATGTGATTCCTCTTGTCCCCTTCTAGAGGGAAACTGGTCATCTACACATCAAAATGAGTACCCAGGAGGGTTACACTTGGTTTGTGGAGTTCTGAGCACAGAGCTATTTATTTAATGCCTCCCAATCCCACCATACTTGCTTTGATGATGTTGTTTCCTAGTAAATAAATGCTTACATCTAAAATATGCCGCAAGATTACACTGCAACTGTATTCCATGTAAAATGTAGTCCATCTTAGGTGGCTTCCATAACAGATGATCTATACTCGGGTTGAGGGGAGGGACTGGTGACCAGATTACAGTTCTTTGAGTTATCATAAAGCCATTCCTATGTATCTTCCTACTTGGCTACCTCCTATTTAGAACCATCTTTGAGACAAGGACACAAAATTTCAACAACATGCGTTAACTATAGGCTAAAGTGAAGTTGGTTTGCAAAGGTGAAGACAAAATTTCCAGAAGGTATAACACTAAAATGCATTCTCTCTTTTCCCACCTACTGCCTGAAAAGCTATTCCTTGTGCACCACCCCCAGCCATCTCCAATGGGGACTTTCTCAGCAGCAGTAGTGAGTATTTTTACTATGGAATGGTGGTGACATATCGGTGCCATGTTGGACAGAACGGGAAAAAGCTGTTTGACCTGGTGGGCCAGTCGTCAATATACTGCACCAGCAAAGACAATCGAGTTGGCATCTGGAGCGGTCCTCCCCCTCAGTGTATTCCTCTAGTCAAATGCCCAATTCCAGAAGTTGAAAATGGAATTATGGAATCTGGATTTAGACGTTCATTTTCCTTAAATGATACTGTGATGTTTAAGTGTAAGCCTGGCTTCACCATGAAAGGCAGCCACACAGTATGGTGCCAACCAGGCAGCAAATGGAATCCTCCTCTGCCAAAGTGCTTCAAGGGTGAGTCGGGCTGAAACTTAGGAGATATAGAAATAAAATGAGACTTTTGGAGAAACAGACACATGGCACCTATAAGAAGAGGAAGAGAAAGATAGTATATGTGGCTTGGGTATCCTGGTTAAAGAATTTGAAACTAAATTTTGAAAGTGATATCTACATGTTGAAGAGGCGGGGAATTTACTATATTCTGGGGCAATGGTAGACGAACATCAATTTAGGGGAAACTAGAGGATGCTTCAAAAACCAACAAAAAAAATAGTAAGAAAGCTAATAATCAGAGATTTTTTCCCAAAAAACATAAATATGGTTAGATTTTATTCAAATGAGGATAAAATAAACTTTCAAGCCTTTTGGCCATGCCAATGGAGGAAATTGGCTGATGTCAGAATGTGATTAAAAATCCTGTAGATATTTTATATTCTCTCATATTGAAAACTGTAGCCTTTATGGAATAAGGCTAGAAGTAAGATTGAGCCTCTTCCCCCATTCTCATTGTCTCTCCGGCTCTTATTGAGGAACATCTAACTTACTAAAAACCTGGCAACATTTCGACCCCTCCTGAAAGGCTCCTAAGTGTCATTAGCCTGGTTTGGGAGCAGGAAGAAAGGGAGATTTTGGTGAAAATGTGTTCAATAGTTGTGTTCCCTTGGCTACATTGTTAAAAGATATCTGAGACCATTCTAGTTAAATGAAATGGAAAATGGGAGTGGGTGTAATATTACCCAGCATAGATCAAGATAGGGAAAGCAGGTAGTCACATGGTTCATCGTGTCTAAGAAAAGTCACACATTTTAGCGTCACTACCCTTCACCCAAAGGCGTCTCTGTCTTCCACTCAGGAGAGCGGCCATGACCCCTTTCATCCTGCCCCGCCAACCCCAAGTCGGCTTAGGTTGTAGAGAAGAGAGTTTCTATTTCAGAAATGAATGGCCTCTGGTCCTGTTCTTTTCTCAGGGTGTCTACCACCTCCTCATATCCACCACGGTAATTATAACAAAATGGATCATGAATTCTTTCCAGTTGGACAGAAAGTGTCCTACAGCTGTGAGCCTGGCTACGCTCTGGTTGGAACTCACATTGTGCAGTGCACACCCTTGGGAACATGGAGCCCGATGGCCCCCACATGTGAAGGTGCCTGAAGCTCTATTCCACCTTAAGGAAACTCCTCTGTTTCCTGACTCTTCATGTGCCAGCCTTGTGTCTTTCTTTCCTAGTGAAATCATGTGATGCCATCCCAAGCCAGCTTCTCGATGGCCGTGTTGTGGCTCCTCCTAATATCCAGCTTGGGGCAGAGGTTTCATTTGTTTGTGATAAGGGGTGAGTGTAAGGTGACAGGGGCTGAATTGAGACCTGAGATCCATAGCTGGGCATTGCAAAGTGTGATCTTTAAAATTAGTTTAAATTTTTTTCGCTCTCTGCTATTTTTTTTCTCTCCTCTTTACGTTTTATGACTAACAATTCTGTTATTAAGCAAATCGCATGGGTTCTCCGTATGTATTACATGTGGCCAGCCAGAGCCGGGAATTGTCCTTTCATCATTTGAAAGAGCAAAGTTGGCCGTTCGTAGTTAAGGCTTCTATTATGGAGAATGAATAGATGATGGGGGTTCAGTAAGAGGGGCTCTTTGGGGTGAGCTCAGAGAACAAGGTCTTTGATGTTTTTCTCACTAGGAACTGAGTATTTTTTCTTTCTGTGAATTTTGACATTTGAATTCAAGGGAAAATTCAAAAAAGAATATGATCATTAGGATTTTTTTCTGTGTTTTTACCTGGTCTGAAGTCACCACAAAGCTGAGCTGGTTCACAATGTTGGACTTTGTCCTTAAGCCAGAAGCATAAAAAGAGGAGGGATTAATTCAGTACAACTGAGAATTGGTTTGTTCTGGTGATGAATCGCTACCCATTATTGTTTAAGGTACCGGTTAAATGGCCAGTCTTCTAGTACATGTGTCTCCAAAGGAATGGGAGTGTTCTGGAATAATAAGTTTCCTGTCTGTGAACGTGAGTAGCAAGCAAAAAATAATCAAGTATGGATCTTGACCCTTGATTTTTCATGTGTTCCTGTGTATTTATCGATTATAGCATCTTATTCGTATGTGTGCTTTGAATATATATATATATATGTCATTCTTCCATATGTTCTAGAATGTGGATGAAAACTGAATTTACTCAGTTGACTACATACTGTTTTAAGTATTCTATATGTAGAAAGATAAAGGCTCTTGAAAGTTCCCTGTACTGAAACTGAGTGGCACTGATGTGCTGAAATGGCTTGGCCGCGTCTTCTTTGCCAGTTCCTCTACCGATGAACAGCTCTTGGAGCTAAGTGGGAATCAACCAGAAGTTCTGGAGGTTGGCAATTTTCCCTTTATTCTGAGACTCACTCAGGAAAGGTGTTCATATACCAATGCAGCTCTATGCAGTTGATACCCTTCATGCCCGTTAGGACAAGTAAATAAAAGATAGGCTAAGAGGTCATCATTCAAAACCTCTGATTACTTCCTGTGGCTTTTTTAAAGGGGTCCAGTATCAAAGGATGACATATGACACATAGGAAACTGTAGTATCTTTCGTAACAGAACAGAATGTGGTCCTACCGCTTGTAGCTCCAGTTGCCTATTTGAACAAGGAATTAAAATTTTTATGTTCCAGGTATTACACTTGCTCCTTTCAGGTACTTCTATCTCACTGGATTGTTATTACAACCTTATGAAGTAGCTTGAATTATACTATAGCCTAGGAAACTGAGGCTCATGGAGGGTAAGACTTGCCTGAGGTCACACAGCTATTGAATGACAGTGGAATTCAAAGCGAGGTCTGCTGAGCCCAAATCTTATTAGTCCATGTTGTCTCCGCACACTTGATTGGCATGTCATTAACATTATTTTCATGTGTAGTTTGCCTTTTGTTTCATTACTAAAATTGATTAGGCTCAGAGCTATTCAATAAATCCTGTTCCATTGTTAGTCAAGATGGCACTTATAGTCCATTGTTGATTTTTTGTTTACTGAGGATCAAGAGAAAGGTAAGAATTTAGGAGCTTGGGGGATAAGTAGGGATTATGAACAATAGATAAATTATACAAATTTCTAGTCTATTTCTGAAAAAGTTGCATGACCTCTATTTTACCTACATGTGACGCTTTTTGTTGTCATGATCCGTGTGATGACATTATTTCCTTTTCTGCTTTTCCAGGAATTTCTTGTGACTCTCCTCCTCCTATCAAAAATGGTAGGAGTGGTTACTCCTCTGGTCCCTTACCTCTTGGCACTTTTCTAAGGTACTCTTGCCTCGGTGGCTTCCGTCTCATTGGAGAAAAAAACATTTTTTGTATAAGTAAAGACCAAGTGAAAGGAATCTGGGATAAAGCTGCTCCTATATGTGAACCATTCAATAGAAATTCTGTTTGCCCTGAGCCCATAGTACCAGGGGGATACAAAGCTAAGATGTCCAGACCACCATACAAACATGGTGATTCTGTGACATTTACCTGCAATGCCAACTTCACCATGAAAGGAAACAAATCTGTTTGGTGCCAAGCAAATAAAACTTGGGGACCGACACCGCTACCAACCTGTGAGAGTGGTAAGTAAACATAAAAATAAAACTGAGCGGGGAAGGTGGAGCCTTGTACTTCTGTGCAGGCCAAGTTTTGTGTTATTCTGAAGGAAGGTCAGTAGTGGGGGTGGTGAGTGGTTGTGTGAATGGTGGGGGTGGCGGGGGTAAGCAAGGGAAAGGGTGAAAATTATGATTTCCTATTTTTTCTTAGTCATGGAAGGAATTACCTGTTCATTCAACAAACATCAAAAGAGCAATGAATTTTTGAGTGTAATAGAAAAAATGTAACTGAACATATCAAATAATTAAATAGAATAACTTTCTCAAGGGTAGGGGCCAGAGCTGGTTGGGCCTGTGGGAATTAGATGGTTTTAAACTGTACAGCTGTGTTACATGCAAACTGAGAAGAAATGTGGGATCTAACAGCAAAAATACACCCAATGGATTTAAACTCATCTTTAAATAGCTGTTAATATCTGGCAGAAATGATGCCCTGTTCTCTGGGGCCTCTGTAAATACTTTCTTAAGTGATCCACTATATTCCCAAATCATCTCTGAAGCTCTAACATTTCAAATCAAATGACTGAACAGAGGAACAACTATGAGTTCTTAACTTCCTTTCCGTTTGGTTTGGTTTATGTTGCTGATGAAATCTAAATCTGAATTTCAATTATATAATCGCAAGGACTGGCAATATTTGCCACAAATGATACCATCAAAATTAGCTATTTATTTTCCCAATAAAGAACAATATTGACTGATTCTAAATCAATTAAAGAGTTGAGAAACTGCTCGATAGACTTGTATTTTTCTAATATTTATAGGTAAATTCATAATTAATACTGATGATAGGAAAGATCTTAAGGTAATCTCAAAACAAGGTGACCATGGAAAACAATTGAGCCATTATAAAGATTTAGATATATCTATATATATTGATGTAGAAAAAAATTATTAATCAAAGAAAGCAAGGCTTAGAATAATATGGATCAAGTACATACATGCAATATGTGTGTATATGTGTTTCACATATAGGATTCAAAAAACTATATTACTAATGTCTGGGAGGATAACCCCCTCAGACTAGGCTTAAGGGTAGGGTGAAAGTATGGGTGAAAATGGTCTTTTGTTGGTAGTTTCACAGTGCAAATGTAATTCAATGTGTAACTGAAAATGAAAAATAATATACTATTTGTGGTATAAAATGGACATACTGAAACCATACCTGTTTGATCTTTGAAAGACTGAGTTGAAAACTAGTAATGACATAGATGACGTCATTTATTTGAATATATGTACTAAGTCAAAAATCAAGATTGTGAAGGACATACCATCTTATGTCTTTTCCTACTATGTGCATGTAAAGATTTCCACCTGGAGTGCCCACCACTTCCCGTGATCCTTAATGGACATCATACAGGGAACAATGCTGGCCCCGCTGCCCCAGGAGTGTCTGTGACTTACAGCTGTGACCCTGGTTACTTACTTAATGGAGAAAAGACCATTCGCTGTTTGTCTACAGGAGACTGGAGTGCTGTCATTCCCACATGTGAAGGTATGCTAAATTTATCATCAATTTTAAGAGTTTGGGCTATTCTGTTACTTGCCGAGCTTTGCTCATCTTTGGCCTGTTTTCTAGAGGCACAGTGTGAATCTCCAGGACCATTGCTCAACGGGCAGATAAAGGGGCCTGCGGGTCTTAGGGTTGGCGTAATTGTGTACTTCTCCTGTAACGAAGGGTGAGTGTCCAGAGGGCGCATGAGATTGAATTCATTTGGCTTACATGTGCATGGGGTGACCGTGCAACCTGCAGGGGACTCCTCCCCGAGGGGCTGTAGACCTTCAGAGTGAGGAAGAATGCTGATAAAAGGAGTCGGTGCACACAAATTAATCTGTCTTGGATTTTAAGTGGAAGCTGTTTTTCTGCCGCACTAACTGCTTTTAACTCTGAAATGACCACCCTTTGTCCCCAGGTATCAATTACAAGGCCAACCTTCTAGTCAGTGTGTAATTGCCGAGGAGAAGGCTTCTTGGACCAGGATGCCCGTATGTAAAGGTAGGTTAGGCAACAGCAGTTTGCAACTAGTTCCTTGGTCCTTGATCAGGACGCTGCATTCTCAGCTTAACTAAAGCTTTTGATTGTGTCATCACTATACAGAATCTTATAGAGGAACGATCTCAGCTAGGAATTCTTATGGGATGTGTTCTTCACTGACACGTCCTTCAATTACCTCTTTATTCTCTGCTTGTCACATAAAACAGTCTTCCCAGGCTTCTGTGAAAGCAGTGTTGACTTGCCAGCCAGACTGTGCACATAAAGGAGATTATTTGGGGAAGAAAAATAACAAAGGATCAACAGAGTAGATATATTCAGGAATAAAGTTTTGGATCATACTTTTTGAATTATATTCCTGTAGCTATCTTGATTGATTCACTACATTCAAATGTCTCAGGCCCTGAAGCCAGGACGTAACAGTGGAATGAAGCCACATCTGATGCAGTCTTTGTTTGCGGTTCAGCTGCCATCTTGTCATTTCTTTCTGTAATTTCTCCAGAAATTTTTTGCCCGCCACCTTCTTCTGTTCTCAATGGAAGACATTCAGGCAGCTCTTCAGTGAACTTTCCATATGGAAGCACAGTCACTTACACCTGTGACCCGGACCCAGAGGAAGGAGTCAGCTTCATCCTTATGGGGGAGAAAACCATCCGTTGTATCACTGATAGTCAGAAGAACGGGGCCTGGAGTGGCCCGGCCCCACACTGTGAACTTGCGACTTCTGCAGTTAGGTGTCCACCTCCCCAAATTCTAAGAGGCCAAATATTATCTGGGCAGAAAGATCAATATTCTTATAACAACACTGTGGAATTTGCTTGCCTGTTGGGCTTCACCATGAAGGGCAGCCCAAGAGTCCGATGTAATGCCCAGGGCACCTGGGAGCCGTCAGCACCCGTCTGTGAAAAGGGTGGGTATTCCGGTACTCAAGGAAGCTGCTCTTGATTCAACTTCCTGAGGAGATAGAGGGAGTGGTTATGGAAGTAAGCACTTTCCAGTTTCTAGTCCCCTCGATTCTGCTAAGTAGAGTGAATATAAATTATATAGAAGCCTTTAACACCACCCCTCACCATTGTTTCATTTTGTGGAGTATCCTTGGGGAAAAGATGTTAGGAATCACGAAGTTGCCCGTTTCTTTGGGAAAACTGGGAAAAAATGCTATCTTGTCTTAGTAGTGATTTCTTAAAAGGGAAGTCAGCAAAGCCTCCACCCCTGGGTATATTGGAATCTCCCATTCAAAGCATACAAGATACTTCCTTAAGAAAAGAAGAGATAGGCGAAGAATTAAGAGTGTTGAGTGGAAGCTGAACAAAATCTGCAGCAGCCTAAGTGCAGAAAAGGCTGATCTAAAATTGCCCCAAACCGGGCTGTGAGATCCCTTTCAGACCATCAGACGTCCACCAGAGTGGAAATGTAGGGTTAATGACAATATCTTTGGCTGTATCTTTCTGCTGTTTGTATAAGAAAACTTTTCTTCCTTTCCTTTAGAGTGCCAAGCCCCTCCTAAAATCCTCAATGGGAAAAAGGAAGATAGGCGCATGATCCACTTTGACCCTGGAACATCCATGAAATATAGCTGTGACCCTGGCTATGAATTGGTGGGAGAAGCATCCATACATTGTACCGCTGAGGGCGTGTGGACACCCGCTGCCCCTAAGTGCGAAGGTGCCAGGCTTTGAATGTAGACATTTTGTGGTTTGGGGATTGTCTTGAGTTGATTTCTCATCCTAGTCTCTTTTCTTAGTGGCAGAATGTGAACCCATAGGAAAGCAACTCTTTAAAAAACCCCAGGATCAATTCATTAGACCAGATGTTAACTCTTCTTGCGATGAAGGGTGAGTGAGGGCTATCTCAGCCTGAACTAGGTTCGCTGACCGGTGAGCACTGCACACTCTGTGTAAGAGTATCTGAAAGACCCTTCCCTGTCCATGTTCATGCAAGTGTTGATTGCACTATTTTTCCATGCATGGAAACTATGCCTATGCAATGGATGGATGGTGCCGATGCCACCTACATTTTTGTTCTCATGCTACTTGTCCTGAAAGTGGTGAGTCTGCTTTTGAGCCAATAGCTCTTAGTTCAGTGGTCATCAGATGGCAAAATGATATGAGTCTTTGTCTCTAGGTACCGGTTAGATGGGAGTGTTTATCAGCAGTGTAAAGGCACAATTCCATGGTTTATAGAGATTCGTCTTTGTAAAGGTGAGTAGCAAAAATAATGGAGGATCTGAAATAACATGAAATCTATGCATTTCCTGGGAGATTTCTGTGTGGGGCCATGTTATGGGAAGGAGAATATTAGATTCTGTTCTATTAACTTTGTCAACAGTTATAGTTGCACAGTTTTGCTGACTTGCTGCTGTCACTTCTTTCTACTTCAAAGCATAAGAATCACTTCGTTTAAATGTAGTTAGTTACTGATTTTCTTTGTGATTTAGGAGAATACATGAGGGAAGTAAGTATATGAGCCACCAGGGGACTTGGGGTCCCCCGGACTTAGCGGAGTGAAAGAGGATTGGTGTGGGATCTGAACTTGGATTCTGTTTCTACTGCTTAATGTGACCTTATGCAATCTACATAACTTCTCTGAAACTCTAGCCTCTTATCTGCAAAGTCAGCATAAGACAGCAGACTTGAAAGTTATTAGAATTAAATGGTACTATCCCTACTTTCCAGATAAGAAAATTTGCTGTCAAAAAGTAGATGGTCATCAACAATATTCTTAGCTAACCTATCATATCACTCAGCACAAAGATGGTACTCAATAAGGCTTAATTCTACTCTCATGTGCCTTTTATTCATCTATTGATTATTAAAAAAAAGAATTCTATCATTTAATAATTTACTACCAGCCTTCACTGCCTCACAACATGATATTGTTCTATGTTTCCTTTCAACAAAGATTTCCGTTCCAAAAGTCTTTCCTATGAAATCTGTTGAAACTGAATTTTATATAAATAATGAGCTTTGATATAACTCGTATCATCAAAACTCTCGCATGCCCTCTAGGAAATCTGTTAACAACCGGCTCCTAATCAGCTTCATTTCTCTTCTTTGGTGTCTTAATACTAGAACAGCTTTCTACAGTGACTTCTCATTTCTCTAGAAATCACCTGCCCACCGCCCCCTGTCATCTACAATGGGACACACACAGGAAGTTCCACCGAAGACACTGTGTATGGGACCACCGTCACTTACACGTGCAACCCGGGGCCAGAGGCAGGAGTGACGTTCCACCTCATCGGGGAGAGCACCATCCATTGTACGAGCGACGATCAGGAGAGAGGCATCTGGAGCCACCCTGCTCCTCTCTGTAACTTTTCCCTGCCTGCTGTGAAGTGCTCACATGTTCATGTTGCAAACGGGTACAAGATATCTGGCAAGGAAGCCCCGTATTTCTACAATGACAGTGTGACATTCAAGTGTAACGACGGGTTTACTTTGAGAGGCAGCAGTAAAATCCGTTGCAAAGCCAGTAACACCTGGGATCCTGAAATACCAGTTTGTGAAAAAGGTAAAAACCCAGTGGTAGAAAGAAAAATGTGGTATTCATTTATTCATTATTGTTTATTATCTCCCACCCAAAACTAGAGTCATGGAAAAAGGCAAGGGGGTACTCTGAGGAGATAGAGGGAGTGGTTATGGAAGTAAGCACTTTCCAGTTTCTAGTCCCCTCGATTCTGCTAAGTAGAGTGAATATAAATTATATAGAAGCCTTTAACACCACCCCTCACCATTGTTTCATTTTGTGGAGTATCCTTGGGGAAAAGATGTTAGGAATCACGAAGTTGCCCGTTTCTTTGGGAAAACTGGGAAAAAATGCTATCTTGTCTTAGTAGTGATTTCTTAAAAGGGAAGTCAGCAAAGCCTCCACCCCTGGGTATATTGGAATCTCCCATTCAAAGCATACAAGATACTTCCTTAAGAAAAGAAGAGATAGGCGAAGAATTAAGAGTGTTGAGTGGAAGCTGAACAAAATCTGCAGCAGCCTAAGTGCAGAAAAGGCTGATCTAAAATTGCCCCAAACCGGGCTGTGAGATCCCTTTCAGACCATCAGACGTCCACCAGAGTGGAAATGTAGGGTTAATGACAATATCTTTGGCTGTATCTTTCTGCTGTTTGTATAAGAAAACTTTTCTTCCTTTCCTTTAGAGTGCCAAGCCCCTCCTAAAATCCTCAATGGGAAAAAGGAAGATAGGCGCATGATCCACTTTGACCCTGGAACATCCATGAAATATAGCTGTGACCCTGGCTATGAATTGGTGGGAGAAGCATCCATACATTGTACCGCTGAGGGCGTGTGGACACCCGCTGCCCCTAAGTGCGAAGGTGCCAGGCTTTGAATGTAGACATTTTGTGGTTTGGGGATTGTCTTGAGTTGATTTCTCATCCTAGTCTCTTTTCTTAGTGGCAGAATGTGAACCCATAGGAAAGCAACTCTTTAAAAAACCCCAGGATCAATTCATTAGACCAGATGTTAACTCTTCTTGCGATGAAGGGTGAGTGAGGGCTATCTCAGCCTGAACTAGGTTCGCTGACCGGTGAGCACTGCACACTCTGTGTAAGAGTATCTGAAAGACCCTTCCCTGTCCATGTTCATGCAAGTGTTGATTGCACTATTTTTCCATGCATGGAAACTATGCCTATGCAATGGATGGATGGTGCCGATGCCACCTACATTTTTGTTCTCATGCTACTTGTCCTGAAAGTGGTGAGTCTGCTTTTGAGCCAATAGCTCTTAGTTCAGTGGTCATCAGATGGCAAAATGATATGAGTCTTTGTCTCTAGGTACCGGTTAGATGGGAGTGTTTATCAGCAGTGTAAAGGCACAATTCCATGGTTTATAGAGATTCGTCTTTGTAAAGGTGAGTAGCAAAAATAATGGAGGATCTGAAATAACATGAAATCTATGCATTTCCTGGGAGATTTCTGTGTGGGGCCATGTTATGGGAAGGAGAATATTAGATTCTGTTCTATTAACTTTGTCAACAGTTATAGTTGCACAGTTTTGCTGACTTGCTGCTGTCACTTCTTTCTACTTCAAAGCATAAGAATCACTTCGTTTAAATGTAGTTAGTTACTGATTTTCTTTGTGATTTAGGAGAATACATGAGGGAAGTAAGTATATGAGCCACCAGGGGACTTGGGGTCCCCCGGACTTAGCGGAGTGAAAGAGGATTGGTGTGGGATCTGAACTCGGATTCTGTTTCTACTGCTTAATGTGACCTTATGCAATCTACATAACTTCTCTGAAACTCTAGCCTCTTATCTGCAAAGTCAGCATAAGACAGCAGACTTGAAAGTTATTAGAATTAAATGGTACTATGCCTACTTTCCAGATAAGAAAATTTGCTGTCAAAAAGTAGATGGTCATCAACAATATTCTTAGCTAACCTATCATATCACTCAGCACAAAGATGGTACTCAATAAGGCTTAATTCTACTCTCATGTGCCTTTTATTCATCTATTGATTATTAAAAAAAAGAATTCTATCATTTAATAATTTACTACCAGCCTTCACTGCCTCACAACATGATATTGTTCTATGTTTCCTTTCAACAAAGATTTCCGTTCCAAAAGTCTTTCCTATGAAATCTGTTGAAACTGAATTTTATATAAATAATGAGCTTTGATATAACTCGTATCATCAAAACTCTCGCATGCCCTCTAGGAAATCTGTTAACAACCGGCTCCTATCAGCTTCATTTCTCTTCTGTGGTGTCTTAATACTAGAACAGCTTTCTACAGTGACTTCTCATTTCTCTAGAAATCACCTGCCCACCGCCCCCTGTCATCTACAATGGGACACACACAGGAAGTTCCACCGAAGACACTGTGTATGGGACCACCGTCACTTACACGTGCAACCCGGGGCCAGAGGCAGGAGTGACGTTCCACCTCATCGGGGAGAGCACCATCCATTGTACGAGCGACGATCAGGAGAGAGGCATCTGGAGCCACCCTGCTCCTCTCTGTAACTTTTCCCTGCCTGCTGTGAAGTGCTCACATGTTCATGTTGCAAACGGGTACAAGATATCTGGCAAGGAAGCCCCGTATTTCTACAATGACAGTGTGACATTCAAGTGTAACGACGGGTTTACTTTGAGAGGCAGCAGTAAAATCCGTTGCAAAGCCAGTAACACCTGGGATCCTGAAATACCAGTTTGTGAAAAAGGTAAAAACCCAGTGGTAGAAAGAAAAATGTGGTATTCATTTATTCATTATTGTTTATTATCTCCCACCCAAAACTAGAGTCATGGAAAAAGGCAAGGGGGTACGGATCACTATCCCATTCCTTCCGTCCTGCAATAGAATGTCCTATGTGTGTTGTGTATGTTCTTTGTGTAAATTCCCTGTTAGATCTGGGATATATTCAGGGTAAATAATGAGAGGACTTTTCTAAGGTGCCTGATGACTACAAAAGACCAGAAAACATTCAGTAATGAGTTAGAGCCTCATGATCTTTGTTTTAAAAGCTTCAGATTGTCTGTTGTCAAACGTTGTATACTTAATGTTCTTGAGTGTAATTCCTTTCTTGTTGTATTTATGTGGGGAGTTCTCTCTTCAGGCTGCCAGCCACCTCCTGGGCTCCAGCACGGTCAGCATACAGGTGGAAATAGGGTCCTCTTTGTCTCTGGGATGACAGTAAACTACACCTGTGACCCTGGCTACTTGCTTGTGGGAAACAAATCCATTCACTGTATGCCTTCAGGAAATTGGAGTCCTTCTCCCCCTCGGTGTGAAGGTACTTTCCGCTCCAGAGTTGTCTTTCTCTGTGATACCAGACATGTATAAGTAATTCCAACTTCGTTCCTCTAGAAGCACCATGTCATCCGGTGGGAGAAGACCTTCATAAGCTTCCAGCTGATTCACACATCATATCAGTTAATACATCCTGTCAAGTTGGGTAAGTATGAGGCGATCCATTCTACAAAAGAGTCTCCATCTTGTTTTGTCCATAAATTCTACTCTCAGCTTGTCTTGTGGCTCCCTGTAGAGGGTCCTCATTGTCACATTTGCAGAGAATATGAGTTTCAAAGATCTAACTAGCATCTCTGGCTTTTCAATCCTTTCTTGACCTGTGAATCCATCTAAAATAGTTTTCTTTATTGAGAGGAGAAAAGTTTTAACTCCTAGCTGTCAAAGTTCTTATTTAGAAGTGCCTCTGTATTTGTGGTTTGAGAAGTTAGGTTGCAGAGATGGGATATTGGAAAGAGGAAATGTACAATAATCCCTCTCTAGGTACCAGTTGACTGGATATGCTTATCGGAAGTGTCAAGATGCTGAGAATGGGGTTTGGTTCCAAAGGATTCTACTTTGTAAAGGTAAGTTAGGGAAAGAGTTGTAGGGGGTTAGAGAGGGCAGGCCATTGAGGAATTAGTCTGTCTATTCTATCTCAGTGTACAGAGATAAGAAAAACCTCTCGTGTTTGGTTAGCACTGACACTGGGAAATTTAGTTGGCAAGTAGAAACTGAGCATCTGCCGTATCTCTACTAATTGCTCAAGGTTAAAAAAAAAAGATATGGCCTATATTTGTAGTCCATGGGAACACAGACATATTTATCCCTTTCTTAATACTTCACTGCATTTTCTGAATTTTTTTGGAATGAGCATGGATTATTCATATAGTCAGAAAATTCAATAAGACTGTTTTAAAGAAAGCATTATCCAAGTTTGAAAGTGCAAAGATTCTTCTAAGTATATGTAGTTCACACAGTTACATAGTTTTGTTTGTACCTGAATGAAGGCTGTCTCCCTTGGTGTACTAACTGAAGGAGAATTTCCTAAATTTCTTCTGCAGTTATTTACTGTCAGCCTCCACCAGAGATTGACAAGGGGAGGCACAGAAGCGTGATGGTAAAACACTTTCTGTATGGCAATGAAGTCTCTTATGAATGTGACCAAGGATACTATCTTCTGGGAGAGAAAACTCTGCGATGCATCAGTGGCTCTGAAGAGCATGGATCCTGGAGTGGACCTCCCCCACAGTGCCTAAAATCTCCTGCTGTGACTCACTGCCCTAACCCAGAAATCAAACATGGATACAAGCTAAATAACAGTCACTCTTTATATTCCCACAATGACATAGTGTATGTTGCCTGCAATCCAGGCTTCATCATGAATGGCAGTCACTTGATCAGGTGTCACACCAGTAACAAATGGGTGCCAGGTGTACCGACTTGTATCAAAATGGGTAAGATATTCTAAGGCTTGAAGTATGGGACGTTGCAAAGAATAAATGAAGAGGGGTTTGAATTTTCACTTGCCAGTCTGCCTAAAGAAAAGTGTGTAAATGCAAAGGCAATTCTTTTGTTTTACATGCTACCTGCCTTATCTTCTTACCTGATCCTTTTTTCCCCTTTCCTTTCTAAAGTGTATTGAGCAAAACTATATGACAGGAGAATGGTGAACTGTCAAAGTGATGGAGTCTCCAAATTGTAGTGTTTCTATTAATTTTATAGTAAGACAAATGCACATACCTTTTTTGGAGGCAAATGTTTAGCAGTAAAATCGCTCGATCGTTTGATGTTTAATTATCAGATTAATTGCAATACCGACCAGAAAGAGAACTTTGTGTGGTCTGGAGAATGAAGCTGTCCTTCAAACCCACTGAATTGTCTCCCTTGTAATTTTAGTTATCATTTGGCAGTTTTATTTCCTGTCAATGACTGTCTGCAACAGAGGCGGCCAACAGGTCATCCAAGAAGTAGATTCAGCTCACCAGAACTGTTGCCTTTCGCCAGTACACTAGCCTCATTTTAAGGGAAACCCAGGTCCACAGCCCAAGATAAACAGTGGACCTGCCATGTACTGAGGGCCCCCTTTGCTTTCCTGAAAGGTACCAGCAACTTGAACTGGGCGGTGGCTGCCATTTTTAGGGCAGGTGCTCTGATTGGTCATATCTGGTGGCATCCCTTCCTGGCTCCTGTAGGCATTGAAGTGTACGACCCTTGGACTAAAGCCTCTTTGCTATTTCACGTGGGGGAAAATGAATACTATTGGCTTATAGATAACACTTGTGGGCCACAATCATTGACGTTTCATTACCTTACTTTTGGCATTCTTCTTCAGATCATACACGACTGAAGCAAACAATGCCTATCTCTGCCCAGCGCCGCTTGGTTTAAGTGGAATGACTTTCTGGGTACCAGCGAATTACCTCGTTGCCTGCCTGCCTTTCTGTCTCTCCATTACCCACAGACAGTGTTGGGTCTGTGTTCCCATGTGCTCCATTAAAGATGTTTCTCTGTTGGTGTTTCAGCTTCCTTGGGATGCCAACCCCCACTTAAGATCCCCAACGGGAATCATTCTGGTGGAGATACAGCTCGATTTTCTCCTGGAATGTCAATCTTGTACAGCTGTGAGCAAGGCTACCAGCTGGTGGGAGAGGCACTCCTTCTTTGCACACATATGGGAAACTGGAGTCAACCTACCCCTTATTGTAAAGGTACATTGCCTTGTTTCTCTCCTTTTCAAACCAGATTTGTCAGGCAGATTCAGTTAGGTACTTTCAATTTAGAACAGCCAAATAAATGCATTAATTGGATCATTTAATTAAATGCATTGAACAGGATTACTTTGATTGGATTAATATATTAACAAACCTAAATACCAAAAAATAAGAAAAACAATTTAGGGCATAGCCTATCTAATGAGTGATCACTTATGTAGTCATTTAAATATAGAACATTGAAGTGCTTACTGTAAATGTGTAAATTAAACAGCTAACGTGCAAGTTGAATTTTCACTATGATTATGGTTGTCAGTGTGCATTTGACAGAATATTAATACAAAGCACAATGGTCTTTTCAGTATATTTCCTCTGGGTGGTGGGATTATGGGTATATTTTTTATAAAACCTTTAGTACTTCATTTTCATTATCATAAACAATGCATATGAAGTATGAGTAGTGAGTCAAAATCTAATATATATTGGGCACTTTTTCACTACATGCCAAACACCGAGGAGAGTATTTTGCATGCACTATCTCATTTAATCTTCATGAGTACTACATGAAGTCGGTGCCATTATTCTTCCTATATTATAGACGAGGTGTCAGCAGAATGGAGAGATTTATAACTTTCCCAAGTCACACAACTAGGAAGTCCTAGAGGCAGGATTCAAACCCCAAACCTCACACTACTGATCCCTACACTGAAGAGATAAGAGAAGAAACAAGAAAGGGTGGACACGTATGACGAATCAGAACAGGAGTAGATGCTGACGCAACAGTAATGCAGAATTCCTGCTATTACCCGTTCAGTCCTCACCATTAATGTAGGAAGCCATTAAAGTCATCCAACACTATTAGTTTAGAAACTAAAGCACAAGGAAGGGAAATAATCTGGCTTAAATTACCTAGACGTTGTTGAAATAGATGGCTGACACTGAAAGGGTCTGCCTATGACATCATTTTGTGGTATTTTGGTGAGGCTTTACTTAGAATGAACTAAGTTGGTTTCATAACCCTTTCTGTTAAGGGAAGTAGCTACTTCTTTGGTAAAAGGCCAAAATATGACCCAGCTTCAATGAGATTTTTTAATTTCAGAAGTTAACTGTAGCTTCCCAGAGTATATGCATGGAATCCAGGAGGGGCCAGAACCTGGGAAAATGTATCAGTATGGCACTGTTGTCACCGTGGAGTGTGAAGACGGGTTCACCCTGGAAGGCAGTCCCCAGAGTCAGTGTCAGGACGACCACCGATGGAACCCTCCCCTGCCTGTCTGCAAATCACCAGGTAGGTGCAGAGGGCGTCAGCACACCTTGTCTTGCCTCCTGCTGGAGAGAGGCGAGTGAAGAGCGCCTCTCAACGTTAGGCACTCCTGGGCTTTAAACTGACATAGTATGTGTGACCAGCGGTGCGGTAACAGACGAACTGCAAGCTGGTGGTGTATTTTAGGAAAAGCAAACCTTTCTGAGGATGGGGGAAGTAAAGAAAATACACAGGAGCACTAACGCCCGAGATGCAAAACTAATAACCTTGCATTTTGAAATGAGTTGTTGCTGAGACGTCCCTGATGGCTGAACCTTGATTTATAAGTGCTTGACAGTTTGACAGGGACCTCCACAAACATGTCACCCAACCTGATAGGACAGTGAATGTTTTCATTCTAGCCTGAGAAATCTCTGATTATAAAGTGGAATGTATTGGTTTCTTTTCACTGGTGAACTACCCCAACTTACTTACTTGAAGTGAAATTTTTTTAAAGTCCAATGAGTTGTTACAAAAAAAAGGAAGAGGGGATCCAGGGTTCTGAAACATATTTTGAAGTAGATTTTCGAGAGAAGAGAGCCGAGTGTTGACTTCTGGGCCATTACCATGGGACTTTGGGCTACACTGAATCATGCAACCAGACTAATATTTTCTTGATTTTGTATTTTCCTTAGGCTCCCTTGCTCTTCTTATTTGTGGTAAGTTTTCTTAAATACTTGAAGAAGAATTCTAACGATGTTTTATAAATAAATAAATGGACATATATAAAATTTGAAGCCCTATATCCTGAGTGCTAATTCTTCTTTTTCACTTTAACTCCTAGAAAATGTATCTTTTTTGGTGTTTTAAGAGTCTTTTAATGTACATCCCACACTGCAAAATGTCACTAACATTTTCCCAACCCCTGGGAACAGGCCCCATGATCACTTAAAAACAACATAGGTCACATTTTTTCTGGCATTTCATCCTTGCCATTTTGTTTTCTAGGTATTTCTGCAAGTTTAGTATTTCTTATCGTCTTGATTAGCATCACCTCGTGCATGATATTCAAATACAAACAACGGTAAGTTCGGTGCATGCTTGATCAAAATGCCCAGTTTTGGCGCCTTGCCTGAACCTAAACACAGAAGCAAAATTATACAAAATGAGTATTCCAGGGTGGTAACTGGCATAAGGTATCTTATGCATTATAGAAGGAAGCCCTCTCTGGAAGGACTTAAAAGATATCAAACATTTATTTTATTTGAATGATATTTATTCAGATGGTAGATTATAGAAATATCTAGAAAATTGAAAGAAAACAATATCCCAGAGGTAATGGCTGCAGATATTTTGGTATCTTCCTATCTGATCTTTTTCTTGTATTCTTTTTTTTCTTTTAAAATTGAAATTTTGGCATTATAGTCTCTTGCTTTGTTTTTTTTTTTTCATCTAGCCCAACATACATAATATTTGTGTCTTTAAATACACTTAATAGTGTATTGCTCTGTCATATGTATTTCTGTATTGTGGAAATTTTAGGTTGCTTCCATATTTATTTTGATAATAAATAAGGATATTAGGAACAATTTCCAATAAGTGTTTTTCCACATTTACTTATTTTCTTAGCATAGATTTCTAGAATTACTAGGGTTAAGTTTATGAACATTTCATTTGCTTGATAAATATGCCAAATGACTTTCCAGAAAATTTGTTCTAACTTGATCGTATCTCCAATAGTATATCTGCATATGTGGTGTTTCTGGACTTTTTTTTCTGCTCTGTTGATCTGCTTATTCTTCCATCACAAACCACTTTGTTTAGAGAGCAGAGCTTTCTGCTATTTTAATATGCGGTACGGCAAGAACACCTCACTCTAATTTTTAAAGGATTTTTCACCTCTATTCTCTTCTGTTTCTTCTTATAGGTGATTTTTAGATCATTTATCATTTTCTAAAACAGATATGTTACAATTACATTTAAGTCTATCATTTAATTTGTAAGAAATAGATATCTTTTCTGAAATGTTTTCCCACTCAGGAGCATCCTAGGCCTTCTATTTGTTCAGATCATCTTTTCCCATACT